GGAGGGGAGGGGGGGGGTGGGCGACGACGACGCCGAAATAAAATTGGTCGGGGCGGAGGGGGCGGCGCGCTGGGCTGCTGAGGAAAGGAAGGGGGGGGGCGACGACGACGCCGAAATAAAGTCGTCGGGGCGGAGGGGGCGGTGCGCTGGGGTGCTGGGGAGCGACACATGGCGACACATGTCGACACAACGCCAAAATAAAGTGGTCGGGGCGGAGGGGGCGGCGCGCTGGGCTGCTGAGGAGAAGGAGAGGGGGGGGGAGCGACGACGACGCCGAAATAAAGTCGTCGGGGCGGAGGGGGCGGTGCGCTGGGGTGCTGGGGAGCGATACATAGCGAAACATGTCGACACATATCGACATATAGAGACAAGTATCGACACACACATATCGACGCATAGCGACACACAGCGACACATAGCGACGCACACATGGAGACGCATAGCGACACACAGCGACACAAACACCTATAGCGACACATATAGCGGCACATGAAGGGCACAAGGCACACAACGACACATATAGCGACACATGAAGGGCACAAGGCAGCTGAGGGGGAGCGACGACGACGCCGAAATAAAGTGGTCGGAGCTCTAGACACCCTGTGCAAGAGTATTAAAGGTGGAACTGCATGTGGGCGCTGCCACTGGGGCCTTCGGTGGAGCTCCCTATGGGGCCACCACACGCTTGAAGGTGCACCGAAATGGCGGGTGGAACCGCATGCGGGCGCTGCCACTGGGGCCTCAAGTGGAGCTCCCCATAGGACAACGAAACGTGTGAGTGGTGTGCCAAAATGGAGGGTGGAACTGCATGCGGGCGCTGCCACTGGGGCCTCAAGTGGAGCTCCCTATGAGGCCACGAAACGTGTGAGGGGTGCACATAAATGAGGGGTGGAACTGCATGCGGGCGCTGCCAATGGGGCCTTCGGCGGAGCTCCCTATGGAGCCACGAAACGTGTGAGGGGTGTGCCGAAATGGACACGCGGAGAACAGAGGCACGACGCTGAAGATGGCGATGTTGATAACGCTGATGATGGCGATGGTGATCACGATGAAGATTACGATAGTGATGGACATGACGGCACGCGGAGAGGAGAGGCAGAGGCAGGGATGGAAGGAGGGAGGAGAGAGGAAGGGGGGGAAGGGGAGGCGGGAGAACGCTGGGCGCTCTCTCTTCAAAACGAGGACCCAACACCACAGGATGGTTGGGAAATGCACACGTCCAAGCGATGTCAAGAAGAAGAATAAGGGGCTTCTTCTCGGAACATGGCGAATTGAGACAACAGCAGCTCAGATTCGATCCGCAAACCCCTCCTGGGATCCAAACGCACCGGTGTTCCGAGATTCGTCCAACCGTGGCGACGCGAGGCCCCCCCGAAGGCCAACTACCGTTGTCTCAACTTGCCCTCCTCTGATCTTGGAAGGCAGAGGCCTTCGTAGAAGGCCCCAGAGACTCTAAAGAAAGTGTCTTAGTAAGCGGGAGGGCTGCTAAGATGCTCCCGTGCCTTCTTGGAAGCCCCCTGGCCATGGCCTTCGTAGAAGGCCGCCCCCCTCGTGTCATCCCGCTGTGGGCGCCGCCAATTAACGGTCCTGGGGCTCGGCAACAAAGGCCCCCCGGACGCTGAATGTTGCCCAAGAGACTCCCGTCGTGATCTTGTCACGACGCGACGGGGGGGGTACTGGGGGGTGGGGGGCGGGGAGGTAAACAGGTTGTTCTTCTCGGGGGCTGGGTTCTGGCATGGGACAGTGGCCAACGAAACCAAACACCGCAGCTACGGCTGAGGCACTAGCCTCAAGGAACTCGCGCAGGAGTGGCCAGCTCGCGACTATCTTCGCGTCGGGAGGCAAACAAGGGGTAAGAAGGAGGGAGGAGGAAAGATGAGGGAGCGAAGGAGGAGGGGGCAGGAATTGACGGGAGGAAGTCGAAGCCTCGCTCGTGGGGTCACACCAGATGGGGGCGGGGGGACCGCCCCGCATCATCGAATCATCACAGATACTCTGGCGACGTAGGCGACGCATTGGCGACGTCGGCGAGGAGAGAACCGGGCCCCACACCGAGTCGCATCGCCGATGTATCGGCGATGCGGCGCAGTCCTCCGACACCAGCTGCTCCGACCCCCTCCATAAGGCCTGGAGGCAAGGGCGGGGGGAGGAGGCGCGAAGCGGGGGCGACCCCCTGTGAGTGCGCTGGGGTCGGGCAACTGAAAACATGATTTCTCGGAGCTCCTCAGAGATGGGGATGCGCTGGACCGGCGAGAAAAGATTGCATTTCGTGGATCGGCGCTGGACCGTCAGGATCCGATTTACACAAGAGAATTTCCTGAATCTCGCGAGCGGCGTATCCGCGCCATCGCGGTCTTGACTCCGGGCCGCGATCCCGCGGATACGCGGTCGCACGGATGCGTTCCGCGCGGGACATCCGCGACACAACGCCCCGTATCCCCTGGATCGCGCCCCAGGGGGCCAGGGTCGCGAGGCCGCGGATACGAATATGCTTCTCGCCCACGCGAATCGGCGCTCGCAGGGGGCGGCGCCAGAGGCGCTGCCAAGGGGGCCAGGCGCCGATCCACGATCTGCGCGTGGACCTCCGAGAAATTGTGAGCATGTCTTTCAGAGGCCTCCTGATCGGGGTCGGAGTGGATGGGGTCGGAGGATTGTGCCGCACCGCCGATACATCGGCGGTACATCGCCTATGCATCGGCGATATCGGCGATGCATCGGCAACGCCAGCATTGAAAAAATCTGGCTCCACATCGAACCGCATCGCCGCTGCATCGGCGATGCGGCGCGATCCTCCGACCTCATCTGCTCGGACCCCATCTGGGAGGCCTAGCGGCCTAGCCTCGAGAGAAGGGGTCGGGTGTGGCTAGAAGTGCCCCCAGCCCAAGGTGCCCCCCAGGATTGCCAAGGAGGCACCCATGGTCTTCAGAGCACCCATCACGAGTTCCAGAGGGCCCCAGGGGCTCCAAGCTGACCAAAAAGCCATGCTTTGGGAGGTTGTCGAATGCACCAAAAATTTGGGGCCCAACCTTGGGATGAACGAGGGGGGGCGTTCATCCCCGATAGGGGTGAATCCGAATTGCCCCCTTGGGGCGTATCCTAAGGTTTTCCCTGTTTCCCGAGCAGGAAAAACGTTTCGGGCAGGTCTCAGGGGTTGGGGGAGACAAATCGCCTGTGAGCACCCACGGCCTCCAGAACACGCGCCCACGGTCCCAGGGGTTCCAGAATTGAGAGAAAAGCTCGGAGGCACCTTCTCGCAATCGCTCGGACGTCCATTACCCGTGCGTTGTTCGGCGTCGAGCGTGTTTTTTGTCTACCATATCCAAAGGATGGGGTTATTGTTATTCTCTGACCGCGCCAGACCCCCCATCATCATCCCTCCCCTCCCTCCTCCCTCTCTGCACTAGACGATGATGATGATGATGAGTGCCATGATGATGCCCATAGTATGGTGAGAGCATGCTGTGAGTATGAATGATGGATGAGCCTGATGATGATGAGTATGAGTATGAGTATGAGTATGAGTATGAGTATGAGTATGAGTATGATGATGATGGTGGTGATGATGATGCTGCTGATGCTGATGCTGATGCTGATGATGATGATGACGATGAGCAGATGATGAGGATGTCTCGAGCGGCTTGCTGGTTGTTGCACTCCTAAGGGGGGGCGCCAGGGGGTATCGCACGGCCTCCGTTCGCGCCCAAATGGCGGGGATGTCTCGAGCGGTTTGCCTTTTCTGGTCGCGAGCATCCTTCGTTTTCGGAGCAGATTTTAAAGATTTCTCGTGCGATGCGCCTCCTAAGGAAGGGCCGCCAGGGGTATCTCACGGCCTCCGTTCGCGCCCAGATTGCGGGGATGTCGCAGGCGGTTTGTCTGTTTTGGTCACGAACGTCCTTCGTTTTCGGAGCAGATTTGGAGGACGTCTCGAGCGAGGCGCTCAGTTTCGCCCCCCAAGGGGGCCAGATTTTGAGGATGTCTGGATCGGTGCGCCTGTTTTGTGGCCAGACTCGTGGGCACAGATTCTCCCCAGGATGCCACAGGAGGCTCCAGCAGGCTCCAGGAGGCCCCAGGAGGCCACATGAGGTCCCAGGAGGCATCAGGAGGCCGCAAGAAGACTCAAGAGGCCACAAGATGTCCCAAGAGGCTCCAGGAAGCCCCAGGAAGCTCCAGGAGGCCCCCCAGAAGGCAACAGGTCCCGAGAGGCCCCAGGAGCAGGAGGCCTCAGAAGGCAACATGAGTGGCTCCAATCCCATGTTTTTTACGTATGTTCCTATAGATTGGGCCTCACCTGGAGCACGAATCCTTGATTTAATACGTATGTTTCTTTAGATTGTCCTTCTCCTGCGTCTACAATCCTACATGTTTTACGTATGTTCCTATATATTGGGCCTCCCCTGGGGCACGAGTCCTTGGTGTTCTACCTATAGATTGCCCTTCTCCTGCGGCTCCGATCCGCAATGATTGATGTACGTCGTTTCCTATAGATTGGGCCTCTCCTGGGGCACGATTCCTCCGTAGGAGGTCCCAGGAGGCTCCAGGAGGCTCAAGGAGGCCCCAGGAGGCCACGCGAGGCTCCAGGAGGCCTCAGGAGGCCACTCGAAGCCCCAAGAGGCCCCAGGAGACCCCAAGAGGCTTCTTGAGGCCCCAGGAAGCCCCAGGAGGTTTCGGGAGGCCCCAGGAGGCCCAAGGCTCATGCGCAGAGACGCGCTCGTACTACTGAGACTCATTCACCCTCCAATTTATTCGCAGTTAAGTTCATGACCAAACCGTCTCAACTCAAGCCCGCTTTTATTCAAAAAATCTTGCGCCTGGACACGGCGGACAGGTCCATGCGCATAGGTGCACATATGGGGAGCTCCACGCAGTGCACAATTTTTCCCGACGACCCAAAACTTCCCTCGATGGTCCTGCCAGAGAGAAACTGTATACGTCCGGGCGATGCCAAGACCTGGGCCAGGGGCACCTTCAGCCATCCCCGAGGCGGGGGAGCTCCCCGCGGCTCCCGAGCCGCGGAGACTGGGCGCCGAGGCCGCGTGCCGGGACTTGGTGAGGGCGAGCTCCTGGCACAGCAGCTGGACGCAAGGGCGGCGCTCGTCCCCTCTGGTCCTCCTCCGCTGTCTTCCTGCGCCTCCCTCGCCCTCCTCACTCGCCCTCCTCCCTCCCTCCCTCCCTCCTCTGAGGAAGGGAGCAAGGACCGATTCCGCGGCCCTTCCCTCGTCGCCGCGGCCGGATTCGCCTCGAAATACTTGTCAGAACGCGCCCCTGGAGAGGTCTGCGGAGTAGCGGTACCAATGCCGGTTTGTCACCCCCGCTCTCTTGAATTCGTCCTTGTGCGCCCCTCTTCCAGTCTGCCTGCTCCTCTACGCCGCCTCCGCCCTCGTCCTTCTCTGCATGCGCTTCTCCTCCTCCTCGCTCGTCCTCGCGCTCCTCATGCTCATTCAAGATCGTCCTCATTTTGATATCCACATGTATCCTCCTCCTTCTCTTCACTCAGGTCCGTTTTGTTCATGTCCACGTGTACATGCACGGGTAGAGATATATGTGTTTGCCACTGTGGACCCCGAGCAACGATTTATTGCAGAGTCGGTGTCCTATGCTAGTTGAAGCATGCGACTTGCTGGGCCATCTGATGACATACGTGCGATGTCATGTAAGTGGTGGATCCAAGGTGCTACAATCAACGTGGTCCAACATCGCTTGGACAGTCGATGGTGTGCAGTGCCGATTGTGCAATCTATGGGGTGCACGCTACGTGTTGCGATCTGCGGGGTGCAATCAATGTCGTGCCAATGTACGCGGCGCAACCTCTTGGGCGAGAGCTACGCGGTAAAAGCTGTGGGCTACGTGGCGCAACATTCGAATTGCAAGTAATGTCTGCACAACTTGAAGCCATCTATTTCAGTGCTCGCGCAGACATCCCACCCAACCATTCGCAACGTGTTTGGCAAAACCCATTCGGCCACGATTGCCGTTCCCGATTGGGACTTGCCAGCGCGTCTCTACGGCCAAACTGGCGCGCGCACGCTCGTGCGAAGATTGACCAACTGATTTGGCAGAACTGATGCGTTCGTGGTGGCACTTACCGAAGGGAACTGTCCAACGCGTCCACGCGCGGGCTCTTCACTGAGGGCCGGTGACTCGGGCTGGCGCGACATCACGATGACGTCGGTGACGGCGGCAGCGGTTCTGATGATAGCGACGGTGGTGACGATGTTGACGGCGACGGCAAGGACACTGACGGCGCCGAGGCTGGTGACGACGATGACGATGGTGATGCTGATGATGATGAGAATGCTACTGCTGCTGCTGCTGATGATGATGATGACGCTGATGGCTATGATGATGGTGGTGATGATGATGATGATGATGATGATGATTATGATGCTGTTATGTCGGTGATGAAGGTGGTTGTGATGATGGCGGCAATTGCGGCGATTGACAATGACGCTAACAACGGTAATTCAACAACGCTGATGGGGATGATGAGGAAGTGCGCGCGCAGACACTCAAGAATTCGGACAGATCTTCCCTTGAAAAAAACACGTTGTTGTGCATGTGGTTGAAGAGCTCTATCTTGCAATGCTTGGCAACCCAGTGGTGTTGGCAGGGATTAGACACGCGCGCGTGGAGGCGCGAGCATGTAGCCCAGACTCGCGCACTGGGTGCATGCTAGACTAACGCGGATGAACCCCGTGATGAAATGATAATGCAGGTTTGGACGAGATTGCTAAAACCATGGTGATCCTCTGGTGTCAAGAAGTGCGCGCGGGCAGAACATCTGCAATACCATGTGTTTTCGCCAAGCAATGCTTGCACTTAGGGGTTACTACTTGTTCTACGTTGGAAAACTTAGGTAGGTAACACAATCGCTACTGGCATCATCGTTGCCGTCCTCGTCGGCGTTACCATGATGCCCCGCCAGCACGAGCCACCGACCCGCGTTGAACTGCCCGCGCTCCAGCGCGGGCTTTGACACGCGCTGGGGTGCTGCCATCGGTAAGCGGCATCCTGGGCGCATGGGCTGCGCCAAACCAGGTGGCCGCTCTGCGCGCGAGTTTGCGCGCGACAGCGCGGCCGCCGAGATGCGCCAGCCAGGGCCAATCAATAATCGCAATCGCCGCCGCATCGGTTTGCCGAACAAGCTGCGGATGGTCGGGCGGGGTGATTGCGCGAGCAGTGGAGTTCACAAATCACGATTGGCACACATTCATTGCACCACGCAGCTGGCACCGCACAGCTTGCTCGGACGCGGATCAACGCGGATGCACCCTGTGGTAAAATAAGAATGTGAGCTCTGGACGAAACTGCTAAAATGGTCAGCATATAATTCCAACAAGTGCGCGAGGGCAGAACATCTGCAAGATCGGCGATGAAGGACACTGATAATGTTGATGCTTGTATGTTGATGTGCTCGCAAAGCTGATGATTCTGGCATGATTTCGACATGCATGGTTTTGCAAGGGATCCTTGTACAAAATATATTTTGGGAAAAGCAGGGTGTGCGCGCACGGAATAATGTGACAGGGATGCCGGGGGGTCAATGCCCGATTGGCCTGGAATGGTATCATCTCGCATAGAGAAGGAATGATGAGGCAGAATCATATGTAATCTGCCATGTCCGAGAACGACGGGTTAAGTCCAGCGTGGGGACGGGGGTGTAACGAATCCTTCTTGTTGAGCTTGAAGGGGAAGCCCATACAGTCAGACGCAGGCCAGAAGACCATCATGCAAGAAGATGCGACCCTCCGTCGGCCAAAACAAACAGAACCTCCGAGGGAGCCCTTCCCAGGGTACACAAGAACATCCAACCAACAGGAAGGACCCTGGGGCACCCTCCCCGAACCGACCTCGATCTCACGCCTCGATCCAGCCGTACAACGAGTGCTGTGCAGGACGTGTGGTGCACTCGACGTGTGCATCCAGAAACGCTGGCGCCGGCCAGCGCACGAGGCGGCCACGGGCGGCCACCCAGAAGACCCCGAAGACCAGGCCGGCGCATTAGGCAGCGACGGGGCGGCCGCCGGGCGAACCGAGGGGAAGGCCCAGCCAGCTGCACACAAAGCAGATAGGAGCCCCTGGTGCGAGCACTGCTTGGTGACTGCGTGCGGGCATAGAGCGACATACGCACGTACAGACTTTGGCGAGGAGGGCGCACGGCTCCCACCCCTTGCGCTGCGCTCAAATGTCGCCAGACAGTGAGCGGAAGCTCTTGCATCAAGAGGAAATGGGAAGCACGATTGAGCATGCAGAAATTCAAGCCAACCACATAGAGAAGAGAACCATGGGCACGGAAGGCAAGCGCATTAGCAAATAGACAGACAGACGGTACTCGCTACAGATTTGGACCTGAACCAACACGAGGCGAACATATTTACAGAGCAAGGGCGAGGCCCTCCCGCATCTTCTTCTCCAGAGCCCGCGAGTTGTATTTGGACTGGATCCTCTGCTTCATGATCTCCGCCCTCACCTGGGGCGCACGTGGTAAACATTAAGATGGATGCGGAAGAGGCGAAGCGAGAGGGAGGAGAACCGCCCCCCGCGTCCGCCGTCTCCTGCTTCTCCTCTCCCCCACACACAAGAAAGGAGCCAACGCGTTTGGGCTTCGATTGTGAGGGGCACCATCCGATCGTGAGTGCCATTGCGGAAGGGGACACAAAGGCACATGCTGTTCCAACAACCCCCGACGGAATCCATACTTAGAACTTACATGAACTGTTCCATTGGAAAGAGTCCGAATCGGACAGCTTAACGAGCCTTGCACTGACGCTCCAGCGAGCGACTACGCCAAGCCCAAATACAATCGCATCGTGGACGGCACGCGCCACAACCACAAACAGGCAGCTGAGGCGTGGGGGAATGCCAAGGGCCGCCTGGTAGGGTTTCTGCACTCTTCTAGGGTTCCCCCCTCCCACAACCCTCCCTCGCACGCATCGCTCCACACTCCCTCGTGCAAGAGATCCGAGCAATGGCTGCAACATGGCCCAGCCAGCTGCATCAGACTTTCGCGAAGGACGGGCCCCGCCGCCGGCGGGCTTCGGCGGGCTCCCTGTGGGGCCACACGGAACGTGTGGCGCGCCATCGCTCGGACGTCCATTCTCCGCGATTCGGCATTATTTCTTCGTAGGACGATCCAGGATGCTCCTCGATGGCTCTCGCCGAGAAAAGATACACACGCCCAAGCAATGCCAGGGTGGAATAGGGTGTGTCGAAACGGGCGCGGCGGTGCGATGCGGGCGCTGCCAGTGGGGGCTTCGGCGGAGCTCCGTATGGAGCCACACGAAACGTGTACTGGGGGAGTACCGAAACGGGCGCGGCGGTGGCATGCGGGCGCTACCACTGGGGCCTTCGGTGGAGCTCCCCATGGGGCCACGCAGCGTGTGAGAGGGTGTCGAAGCAGAACTGCGGGAGAGGAGGGGGAGCAAAGATACAATGAACGCCGATGACGATAATGATGATGATGACGGTCCTGGGAATGATGATGGATATGATGACGACGACGGCAGCGACAACGACAACGAAATATAACGATAACGACAATGATGACAGTGATGATGATGATGATGGTGATGGTGATGCTGATGATGATGATGATGGTGATGATGATGATGATGATACTGCTGATGCTGATGATGTTGTTGATGCTGATGATGACAATCATGATGATGATGCTGATGATGATGGTGATGATGATGGTGATGGTGTTGGTGATGATGATGCTGATGCGGATGATTGAATGATGGTGATGATGATGGTGATGACGATCATGGGATTGATACCACTGGTGCTAACAGTGATGCGGATGATTAGGCCAACGATGAAGACGAGGATGGGACGTGAGGAGTGTCTGCGAGCGTGTGGGGGTTCTGACAGAGGAGGGTTAGGATGATGATGAGTATGCTGATGACGTTGTATATGCAGATACATCTAGAGATGAAAATGATAATGAAGATGCAGGTATTGATGACGATGCTGATGATACTGATGATGGTGATGCTGGTGATGGTCACGATGATGATGCTGATACTGATGATTATAATGATGATGACACAGATGATGATGATGATGATGATGACGATGATGATGATGATGATGATGATGATGATGATGATGATGATGATGAGGATGAGGATGCTGATGCTGATGCTGGTGTTGAGGTTTTTGGTGTTGATGCCGGTGATGACGATGCTGGTGCTGATACTGATGATGATGGCGATGATGATGATGCGGATACGGATTTTGATTATGATGCTGATTGTGATGCTGGTGCTAATGCTGATGATGATGATAGTGATGATGATAATGGTGATGACGAGGACGACGATGATGATGATGATGGTGATGATGATGATGGTGATGAGAATGATGATGAGATGATGATGCTGATGCTGATGATAATGATGATGATGATGATGATGATGATGCTGCTGGTGATGATGATGGTGATACTTGTCATGATGATCATGATGACGAGGAGGACATGTGGAGGGCAGAGGCAGGGACGGGACGAAGTCTCTTCTAAAAGAGGACCCAACACCACAGGATGGTTGGGACCAAATGGGTCTTCGCTCCGGAGGCCACGACCACTGGTCAAAATAGCGAAACCACGCTCCCAACGCCACGCTCCCTCGTACAAACATAGTTGATCTTGCGCTCCTGAAGCCACGCTCCGTCGCGAAACGCGACGGGGCAACGCTCCCGAGGCCGCACCCTGTGGCAAAGAACAGCGATGGCTCCGCGCTCCCGAGCCTACGATCGCTCGTAAAAGCCGATGGGTCCGCGCCCCCGAGCTTACGAGGCGATCGAGGCAGGCAACCAAGGGCCGCCAAGACGTCGCACGGTGCCTCCAAGACGGCGCAAAATGGCCCCGTGACGGCCAACACAGTCAACCTGTACAATAAGGACGCACGATGAGGATGCAAGGGCCTTGGAAGGCCACATCGAAGCTAAGCTGTTCGAGCGGGGTGTGGCCAACGAAAGTGGCCAAGGATGGACCGAGGAGGCAATGATGCAAGGGTGCCGTTGGAAAGGTTGGCCATCCTTACTGTGTGGGTTGACTGTATTGTCTCAAGGCGGCCCAAGTAGCCCCAAAAGACAGCCTCAGAGGCCCCCAAGAGGACCGCCAGAAAGGTCTGAAAAGGTCCAAATGATACATTGCACGTAAAGGTGTTCAGAGAGTTTGGTGGTCTTACCTTTTCGGGCTTGCGTCAGCTCACGACGGTCCAAGTGGTATCCAAGATGGCCCCAAGACGGCCCAAGAGGCTTCCAAGAGGGCCCCGAGGCAGCCCAAGAGTGCGCAAAAACGGCAAGAGGCCTCCAAAACTGTCCCAACGACTCCAGCACGGCCCAAAAGACCCCGGATATGGCCCAGAGATCCCGAAGGCGCCAGACGGCCCGATAGCGTGCTAAGACAGCTCTTGGAGCTCCCAAGACGCCCCGAGGCGCCCCCAAGACGCACCAAGAGTTTCCCAAGAGACCCCCAAACAGCCTCCAATAAGGGCCCAAGATGCCCCAGGATGCCGTCAGGCCCCAGGAGGCCACGGGAGGAGGAGAAGCAAAAGGAGGAAGGGGGGATGGAAGGACGGAAGAACGGGAAGAAGGCGACGAAGACGAGACGAGAACCCCCGACATGACGCGGAGCAATGTGTCACACGTCACGGCTCTCCCGAGCCTCGGGACACGAGGTGTCATACCTTACGGCCTGCTGTGCGCCCCCCGACAGTTACGTCACGTCAGGTGTCGCACGTTCCGTTGCGTTAGGTGTCCACGCTGCCCAGGGCGCTGGGCTGGCACGGTGGCGGGACTTGCCGCGGGCAGCTGGATGAACACTTTGAAACGCATGGCATTACCCTGCTCAGACGCTGAAGTCGTAAACGTATTGAATCACAGACACACAAGATTTGAATTCCAGGCTGTGTGCTCTCTCTCACGTGCGCCGCTGCACTGGCGTGAGAGTGCCCAATTGCACTGCATGGCCCAGCCCGAACACAATGCGGTGCGACACACCCGCTTCCACCCAGAAACGTGCGACACTCCAGCGCCAACCAATGCAATGCTGCGACCAAGACGCCGACTCCTTCACAACCGGTTGGAAGAAGTCGGCAAAAACATGAGGCACGAAGGCGGGTAAAAGTGGGTTGGGCTCAGGCGCCCTCCCAGAGAATAACAAAGCACGGCAGAAGCAGATCGATTATTGAAGTAGGAAATCACTTGAAATTGATTGGGATCTGGGAGTCCGATAATACCTACAACGTCCGACGTGTAAGTTTCTGCTGCCATCGGCAGCCTCATCGCTCGCCACCCGCCCAACCCTCCCCGGGTGCCATGGTGGAGCCGCAGGGCGCGATCGCAGCGAGAGAGAGAGAGAGAGAGAGACAGCTGCCTGTGGAGCGTGCGCCTCTCTTTCCGCCTCCGACTCCCCCTCTCTGTCGTGTTCCTCCTCCTCCTCCTCCTCCCACTCCTCCTCCTCCTCCTCCTCCCCCTCCTCCTCTTCCCCCTCCTCTTAATCCCTCTTCCAGGATGGCCCACGATCGAATGGATAAGTCGGATCGGCGATCGACATGAAACGGATCCGCGGAAGTCAGCAGCCAAGTCGGGAGAAGTCGAATCGGTGGAAAGAGGCATTCTGGTGAGGTCTCCGTTGGTGAACGGAAATCCAAATCGGAATCCGAAGTCGAGCCGAATCGGAATCGGCATCGATCGACCTCGAAGCGAATCGAGTCGGAGGAGTCGAAATTAACTCTGCTCTCCCCCTGGATCATCCTCCTTCTGTTTCTGTCCCCTCCTCCTCCTGAGGCCTGACGCCATCGCCTGACGCAAGCGCCTCTCCGCGAGCCCGGCGCGTGCGGCAAGCGCCCAAGGCTGGACACACGTCAGTGCCCAGTCTTTCTCGGGGGGGGGAGGGGGGAGGGGCACGATGCTCATACTCATACTGCAATGATAACAAGACCAATCAACATCGGAATGGCAAATCGGAGCGGAGCGAAAATGCGCATCGGATCGGAATGCATCGGCACGGAATCGAATGAGAATCGGATCGACTGCGCCAATATGCGCAGCAACGCCGTGCAAGCATCGGGCCGCATCGGATCGTCGGAATATCGGAATCGAATCGGATCGGGCCAGCCAGAATTGACAACGAATCGGCCCGAACGGAAAAAGATGCACCATTGCAGGGGAGGGTAGAAAGGCACCACACCTACATTACAACGATACGGAGTAAGGATATCATTCCCCTCCTCCTCTTCCTGAGGTCTCCTGGTGACAGAGGTCCCCGGGGGTGCCTCCAGAGATCTCGGGGCCCCCCTGGAGGTCTCCGGCGGCCCCAAACGTGCCAAGCACACATCCCCGACCTCTGTCGTCGATCCCAGAACCTCGACCCTCTTCCTGGCGAATCCCCCCCGACAAAAGTGACATCTTGCTGATTGTTCTGGGGCCGGCCGAGCTCACGCTTTCGCGGGCTTTGTACGTGTTCGTCACCTCCTCCTCGGAGGATGCGGAGGAAGGGAGAGCGAGGAGGAGGAAGGAGAAGGCGGTGCGACTGAGGAGCATCGGCAGGGAGCGGGGGGCAAGAAGATGGCGCGAGCAGAGGAAGTGGAGGTCGTAGGTGGAGGGGGAGGAAAGAGGACGGAGGAAGAGGGAGGGAGGCCGGAGACGCAGGGAGGGGTCCCCTGTTTTGTTATTACGCTTGCTGCCATGGGCACAACTCCTGATTTGATCTGTTTCTCGGCAATCCGCGCTGTCTCCTTGGACTTTGCCGCTGGGCTCTTTCCCTCCTCCAAACAACGGTTCAACACATGATTCACCCCTTTCTGTGCATAGAAACCATACCTGAGGCACATGAACGTGCCACTCAGGCGCCTTCCAAATGCAACCTCACAGTTGCAACCCCTCGTGACCCCTTCGGGTGTCCTGGAGGGGAGGCCCACATGGACTAATGCAGTAGGGAGCCCTGGCCAAGCGCCAGGGGGCACTCTTCTGCATCGCCTATAGGAGGGGTGACGAGGAGGGAGCAAAGATGGAGGGGCGCCCATCCGAATCCTCGATAAGCAGAAGGCGGACGGAGGGAACCAGGAAACGCCCCGCTGTCGGACAAAAGAGGACAACAACGGCACATGCTCTCGACACTTGGGCCTCTCGATGCCTCTGGCCCCAGGATCATCGTGATGCGGAGAGCGGCCTCGAAGATGTGGTCGAGAACTCCAGGGGCCCACGTCAAGTGAGAGAAGGAGGGAGGGAGGAGGGAGCTCCCCCCGGACGAGTCGGTTTCCAGCTCTCTGTTGGTGTGCGGAAGGCGACGAAGGAACGAGGGAGCAGAAGAGGAAAACGGAGGCCGATGGGGGAAGCAACGACGACCCAAAGCGCCGACACGACAGCGCGCGGGGCCTCAAGTCCTCCAGGGCCGCCGCTTGGACCCAAGCCGGGGCCCGCACCAGGGCCAAGAGGGCCAGGAGCACGCGGGTCCATGCTGAAGAGCACCACCTCCACTTCGCCCTGCAAATGCTCGTGGCCCCGATCCGCGACGTGGCCATTCGCCGCCTTGCCCTCCAATGCCTCGGATACCATCGCTGCCAGGGGTTGGGGGCGGGTGTGCAGGACCCTCACGTCTCGGCGGTGGACAAGCCTCCCTTTAGTAAACCCCCCTCTAGTGAGAACGGCCTAGGACCGAAACCGACGGACCTGGACCCGCAAAAATGACGGCCGCGACGCCCTCTCGCGAGCCGAAAACGGTTAATTCGCTAATCGACGTGTCATGGAAGGAGGTCTATCAGCCTCCGAATGTTGTAAATGGCCTTGACCGTCTGCGCTGCCGAAGCGGGGTTTGGTTGACGGACAGGGTGATTAGCACCTTGACGCCGTCGTCAACAGAATTGGCGCGAGAAGCGACGGCGCGCCACTGCTGCCATCGCGGTGGTCGTGCTGCGCCGCGAAGCGCAGAAACCGAACGCCTCGGGCCGACGCCTTGGGGGCAAATGGCTTGAGCCAGAATAGCTACGGAGGGAGGAGGGAAGAGAAGGAGGGGGGGAAGAGGAGGGAGGAGAAAAGGGAGGGAGGGAGGGTGGAGGGAGGCAGGACGGAGCGACCAGGAGGAGGGAGGGAGCGAAGAGGAGGAGGGAGAAATATTCACTTTGACAGCAAACGCCTTCTGGACCTCCTATAGGAGGACATCTGTCAACACCCCGTTGTTTTGTTACTTTTTCTGTGACGGTGATCCGGCGATCTCTGGATGGGGGAGGAGGAGCGAACGACCGAACGAACGAACCACCACTGCGGACACCTGTCCGGGCCTGCTCGAGACCGCGTGGAGGAGGCCGTAGCCTCTTCAAACCTGTACGTATGGACTACGCGCGATCATGCATATGGAAAGCGGGACAATACAACAATCTGCGACGGAGGAGGGGAGGAGGGAAGTCCTGGATGTGGATGTCGGCGTATTGTCGTTACGTGGTGTGTGCGTATTGCCGTTCGAGAATCGGCCAGGTGGTGGTGTCTTGGGCCGTGCGAATCCAGGTGAAGTGTTGGGTTGGCCTTTTTGTAGTCGGTGTGGGCGTTGGATGCTGGTCAGGCTTTTTGCTGGAGGAACTTGACGAAGTCGTCTTCCCAACGTTTTCGCTGGCCGCCTTGCTGTCGTTGTCCACGTTGGCGTGGGTTCTCTCCTGGTTGCCAGCGAAGTGCGCGCCACGTCCACCTGGTGGGGTCATGGTTAGCAACCCTCGACGCCATACGCCACGAATTCTGTCTGCGAGCCGTCTCCCAATTTGCAACTTGGTGGTGCTGCATGAGCTGCTCTGCACTCCGTGTTGCTCGCTGTATATACTCGACCCAGGGCTCTAGCGTGTACTCGTTGTCGTCGTCATTGTCGTTGCTCTCGCCGTGTGGGTCTGCTGTGCTGCGTGGCTGTCTGCGTCGTCGCTGCTGTCGGTTGCGTTGGGGTCGTCGCCAGGTGCTTCGTTGGTCGTGCCGTCGTCCGTGCCGCTTTGGCTATTGTGAGGGATTGTGCTGCGAGTAGTGCGTCGCCGTGTCGTTCTGATGATCATGCGGAGCATGTGTCGCTGCGTTCGTCGCAGATGGTGCCGGAGAAGTTCCGTAAGCGTCCAGGTCTCTGCTCCGTAAGGCGCCGTCGGTGTTACTGTGCTGTTGAAAAGCCGAAGCCTGTGCGCTAGCGGGTAGCGATTGCCGGTCAGCTCCTGTTTGTGTGAAGTGAATGATGCCCATGCGGCTCTCGTGCGGTGGTGGATATGTATCCATCGCGTCGCGGAAGCTGATGAGTTGGCTGGGGTGTTTGATGCTACCCTCGTGTAGCAACATGTCGATGTCAATGCCCTCAACGCGTGCCGTGCGCGAGCTCGCCCTGCCGGTCCGTCTCGTTTGGTTGCTCAGTATCTTGGTCTTGGAAAGGTGCAGTTCGATTCCGTGCGGTTGCGCCGCGCGCACAATATCTTCGAGCATCGATGTGAGGCGTGGGAGAGCCTGGCTGGTTAAGAGCACGTCGTCGGCGAAGCGAAGGTCGGTGAGTGTGGTGGCGGCGGCCGCCCCAGCTGAACGCCCTTGCCCTTCTTTTGCCATTCGGTGATCAGCGGTTCTAGAATGTGTTGTAGAAGAGCATTAAATTGGAGGGTGAAAGTGGGGGTCGGGCGCAGGGTCCCGGCAATGATGTTTTTTAAGGCCATGAATGGGCGATGCATCCTCGATTGCCGTGCTCGGCGGGGGAACTAATTGAAGCCCCCCGCCTGCGCCCGCGCGCGAGACTCGAGGGGAAAGGAAGGAAGCAAGGGGGCGGGGGGCTCGGGAAAGGCGACGAAAGCAACGTGCGCTAAGGGCGCAAAAAGAAAAGGCTGGAACACACGAAAGCGGTCAGGTGAGTGTCGAAAGCTGCCCAGCCAATCTGACATGCGGAACGCTGCGCCTCAGTTTTGGGGATCTTGAAGGCCAGGGCAAAATATGAATTCACATTGTGGGGAAAAGCAAAATGTGAATTCACACTTTGGGAAAAAGGAAAATGTGAATTCACATTTTGGAAAAAGGAAAATGTGAATTCAATTTTTGGAATTTTGTGTAAGATTCTGTATGAAGGGGCCAGAATGTGAACTCACACTTTGGGAAAAAGGAAAATGTGAATGCACATTTTGGGAAAAAAGGAAAATGTGAATTCACATTTTGGAAGAATCGCGGGGCCCATTCCAAATCTGTCTTGGGGGCCGAGAAGTCATCTTTTGGGAACACACGCGATCATCAACCGTACAATCAAGACACACCTGCACTCCACTTCGCCGACCCACACGCAATGTGCAAGAACGCCCGCACGCATGAAGGATAATGGATGGACGGCGCGTGTGCCCGCGCGGGCAACGCGCGGGCACGAATGACTGGCCATCAATGACCGCCAGCATTGGATGCCAATCGTACCCGATCACATACATGAGCGATACATTGAGCATACATGGGCCATTCAGCCCCCATTGAAGACCCCCTTTTGCAGACCCCCTCTTTCACCCTCCAATTAAAGAGGAGGGAGCTGAGCAGGTCCCCTTGTTTCGTGCCCCGCAAAAGGCTGAAGGGCCGGATGGTTACATCCGTTTTGACTGTGGCTTCCTGTCCCTCGTACAACTGCTGGAGTAGAGAGATGTATCCTGGCTGGACACCTTGCGCCTTGAGCGCTGCCCATATGCTCTCGTGTTCGACCGTGTCAAAAGCTTTTTTAAAAGTCGAGCGTTGCAACCCACAGGTTATGGGTCCATTCGTGCGCTCGCTCTCGAAGAATGTGACATGTGAGGAGGTGGTCGGTGGTCGAGTGTCCTGGTCTGAAGCCTGCTTGGTCAGCTGTTTGTCGAGAGTCGCGTGCCGGTTGGAGTCGGTTGTAAAGCAGCCTGCTGAAAAGCTTGTAAAGCAGCGGTATCGTGCATATAGGGCGGTAGTTTTGAGGAAGCGTGAGATCCCCATTTTTTGGAATTACCGTGACAACAGTGCTCTTCCAGCTGGCCGGTGGCGGAGCGTTGGACTGCAGGATCGTGTTGTAGAGGTGGAGCAATGCTTCTTTGAGTTCTCCCGTGCCTTCTTTCAGCATCTCTGCTCTGAGGCCCTTGGTGCCGGGAGCTTTGCCAAGGCGGAGCCCCTTGATCGCCTTGTCTACCTCTGCTTTTGTGAAAGGTGGGAGGTCGTCGTCGGGCCGTTCTTGCTGCGTCGACCCTGCCGTTGAATGGTAAAGGTGCTCGTAAAATTCTGCGAAAACGTCAGCAATGTCTTGTCTTGTCGTGCGTTTGGCGCCGTCTTGGTCTGTCATGTGCGTGATGAGTCCGCTTTCTGCGTGTTTTGATGCGCGTGCTGCTCTTCAAGTCTCTGAACTGGTCAAGCACGTAACTTATATGCGGTCGTCGTTTCCTCCGCTTCTGCGCACGGATCTCCTGCTGTATAAGTTTGCTCAACTGCTTTCGAGTGTGATGGTCGTTGTTTGGTGTCTGCTGACGCTGCTCCAGTAGGGAGTGCACTCGCTCATCTCCTCTGTCTGGCGGGCGGTCGCCAAGTGGCTCCCTGGCAGTGCTGGCAGCAACGGCCTCGAAAATAACGTTTTGGATGTGGTCGCTCAGTGCTTGTGGGTCGGATGGTAATTCCTTTGGGTGCAGTCGTGGACGCTGGTGTTCGTGGTAAACGCTTGTGTTGGTGATTTGTCCCGTCGGTCGGGGGAGGAGGGAGGAGGAGAGGGAGACGGAGGAGGGATGGAAGGAGAGACGAGGGAGGAGATGGATGGAGGAGGGAAGGACGATGCTGAGGGAGGAACATGGGATAGGGAGGGGGTGCTGCAGCAGCGGGAGCAGCGCGAGCAGGAAGAGGACGGTCCAGCGCTAATGCGCAGTTGCTCTCGCCGCTGCGTGGTCGTGGGTTTCTCTCTCTCTCTCTCACTCATTATCTTTCTCTCTCTCTCTCTCTCGCCATCTGTCTTGTTTCCTCTCTCTCTCTCTGTTTCTGTCGCTGTTTCTCTCTCTCTCTCTCTCTCTTTCTCTGTCCTGCCTTTGTCTCTCGCCCTCTCTCGATGTCATTATCTATCTCCCTCTCTCGTTCGCTCTCTCTCTCTCTCTCCTTTTTTTTTGATCTCTCTCTCTATGTATAGGTATATACGTCAGTGTCCCTCTTTCTCTCTCGCTCTGTCTCTTTGTCTGTGTTTCGAATATACATCTCTCTCTCTCTGTCTCTCGCTGTCTCTCTCTCTCTCTCTCGCTCTCTCTATATATATATATCTCTATATATATATATATATATATATCACTCTCTCTCTCTCTCTTCCTCTCGGTCTCTAATACTGATGCAAATCCGCCGATCCGACGTGTGAGTTTTCAAACTTAGCTCTGGCAAGGGGCGGGGTCTGCCGAGGGGAACCCGCGGGAACACACGCCTTAAGGGACACGCATCCCGGCTCTGGGGTTCGGGATTCCGGCTCTGGGGGGGAGGGTTTGCCGACGGGAGCCCACGGAAACCCACGCGTTCAACAGACACGCACCCCAGGGTCCTGGGGTCTCGGGGTTCTGGGGTTTCAGGGTTCGGGATTCTGGCTCTGGAGAAAACTGGGCGTGGCGTAATGGGGGGCTTATGAATGGGGGGTCAGAAATGGTCCCCTGTCGTGGCCTTTCGGGCCCATCCAGAGCACCAGGGGGCTCGTTTAGGTATCGTGTGGGTACCTTTTCGGACCACCCTCGCCATCCCCCCATTTATGACCCCCCAATTACGCAACACCCAACCGGGGACAGGGCGCCAAGGACCGGGTGCCAGGGACCGGGCACTGGGGACCGGGCGGGCAGCTGGGAACCGGAGAGCTAGGTCGGGGGCGCGCAAACATGGATTAGCGATCCATGGACTTGGCGCGTGGTCGCCAAATCCATGGATCAGGGGCGGTGTTCTCCACAAAATGCGGCACTTGCCGCCTCGCTCGGCGGGGGAAATCCGCGATTCCCCATGGAAACGGGACCCGTCGCCAATCCGCGCCCCCCTGACCCATGCAATCGCCTGAGCCAGGGACTGGGCGCCAGGGGCCGGACACCTGGGCACCTATATAGGAACCGGAGCGCGGGGACCGGGGCCCGGGGACGGGGGGTCGGCCGCACGCGGCCCCCCTTGCCTGCGACGCCCCCCCCCCCCGCCCCCTGTGAGCGGAGCGCGCCTGCAGCGGCCCCCTGCGCATCCCTCCCCCTTTTTCGGCGGCGCGCCCAGGGGGGAGGCGATGGGGCCAGAACATGTGCATAGCATATCTGCTGCCAGAATATCTCCATATCCCTCCTCCTCCTCTCCCCTCCCCTTCTCGGAGGCACAACGCTTGCCCTCCCATGCGCACGTGCACGCGTGGCCCAGTGCGCTGTAGCCTCGCCCGTTTACGGGCCAACCTTTTTTAAGGTTTGACCGGGCCTCTGTCTGCTGCCTGTGTGCCCGTGGAGGTCCGCGAAGATCGATCCTCCAGGCGGTGGTTATGGATAAATCCCCGCCTCGGAAGGGGAAAAGCAGGGAGGGGGTCGGGCCGCAAAATCCTCCTCCGACACTCCGACAACCTTCGAAAACCGTCGCAGGCGCTTAACGCGTTGCCCCTGATGGGTGGGTGGGAGGGGGAAGCCATTCCCTCCCCCTGACGTTGCCCCTGAACCCCCCTCGCTGCCCTGGAGCGCTCCCCTCGGCGTGAGAGGGCACCTCGCTCCTGCCCATGGGGGCAAGCGCGCAGGCAACACTGGGGAAAGGCACCGGTGCCGCTGCTTTCTCCTGGGGTGCGCTCCGAACAGGGCTTCGAGGCGAACCCAGCGGTGGCGACGAGGGCGCCCCAGGAGGCCCGAACAGCGGGCAGAGCGAAGGCAAGGCAGCGATGTGGGCACCCTCTGTCCTCATCTGGAGCACAGGGCTGCGGAGGGCTCCTTGCGCATCTGCCACAGCTTCTTCCTCTCCATGTTGAGGGCGTCGATCTTGTCGTCCTTCCGACGCACCTTGCGCTCCGCGGCAGGACCGCGGAGCGGCGGCCGCGCCCCCGGGGCGGGAGGAGGCCGGAGGGGGCGGGCCTTCCCAGAAGGCTCCGAAGGCCTCCAGCCTTCTCGAGCGTCAGAGAAGGTGGGGGGGGGGGGCGATGAAACGTGCGCTTTTCGTGCCCCTCGTGAGGCCCATGGGGCCTCTTCCGGGCCCTTTGAGGACTCAGAGCGTGGACTCTTCACCCCATTGACGTACCGCACCTGAATTACTCGACGCCCGACCTTCTGAGCAGCTCTCGAAGCCTTGTCCGGAGACGCAGAAAGCTTCTTAGAGGGACGGAGGGCTTCTGAGAAGCCCCGCCACCTTCTTGAGGAGGCCTGGCCCCACCTCACTTCTCCTCCGGCGCGCCGCCGATGTGAGGCCACCACTGTGATAGAACGGGGAGTGCACGTGGGGGGGTGCGCGGAGACAAGCCAAAATGTGAGGAGGCGGGAGAATGAAGGGGGAAGGGTGAAGGAGCACGACGAGACGGCGAAGAGACACGAATATGTAGTTGGTGGGTGTCAACAACAACTCGACCTCGCGAGCCAACGTCCTGCTGCAGATACTGCAACATGATGTGACATCTGTGCCTGTTGCTGGCGCTCCGCATCACTTGCGACCATGGATATGCGCGCGTCAGGTGCTGGCTCAGCTGGTGAGTGGATGGGGAAGGGAGGCGAGTCAAATGTAGGAGGCTGCCAGGGAGGGGAGGCCTGGGGTGGGCGGGGGAACAGATTGGAAACAGTCCGAAAGGGACCCGCAGGGATGTGAAAATGCATCGGAATGAGGGGGCGGGGCGGGAAGGATGTGGAGGGGGAGGGAGGGAGGACCATTGCGTACAATTATAGATTATACATGTGGGTCCTGGCGTGTTCCCCCATCCGTGCTAACATGTACAACGTTTTGTTTGGGGGTCGACCCCCTTACACGATTGATGACGGTGTTTGGAGTGTTTTCGTGTTGCCGGGGTTTTCGGCCAGCCAATCTTCTTGGCCAAACCCACGTATAAACACATACATGCATACACGTGCTTACTGTCACGCACAACTCACGGTCTCTCTGGAGTCCTGGCAGGGCCCCCCCATTTGGTACGCCCCGTCTCCCAGTGCACTGGTGTTGCTGGAGTGGGGAGGGTGAACCAAGAAAAAATGAAAATATCTGGTTGACACATCAACCTGTTTTTTTTGCCCCCCCTCCCAGGCCTGAGGACACGCGCACACACACAACACACACACATACACACAACACTCGTGGGGAGTGGGGTGCGCGGGAGAGGGGGAGACTCTGATGCAGATGCTGCCGCGCGCTACAACATTACATTCGCTTTGTACTGCCCCGTCCCATCGCAGTGCGGTCGCATCGCATTGGAATCGCATCGCACTGCATGGCCACCGCATTACATGGCATTGCATTGCAGACGAATTGCGCTACAATGCAGACGCATTGCGTTGCATTGCGATCGCATCCTTCCTCCTCCCTCCTTCGTGGCTCCAAGGCCCAGGAGGGAGAACCCACCTCCACTTCCCTGACCGCCGATCCTCGACTTGTAGTGCTATATGAGTAAGGATAGTGTTGTAGCACTGCGATGTAGCGCTGTCGAACGTGCATTATCATACAGGTCTGATAGGCGCATAGCTGAATTATTGCTTGCAATAAGAATGCGACAATACTGCAGTAGGGATACTCCAATACCGTTGCACCGTAGCAATGTTGTAGTATTCGGGTGTTGTTAGTGCTGTAGTGACAGTATTGTGATCTCTGTCGTATAATACTGCAGTCGTGTAGTCTAGCACTATACTCTTAGTGTTCTATGAGTTGTTGTAATGTTAGTAGTACAGCTGTAATATCGAAGTACTCAAGCACGGTAGCCGTTCCCTAGTGCCGTAGTGCCGTCATAAAATATGACTATTCTACTGTAGTGGTAGTGGTACTGTAGTAGTACTGTAGTCGTAGTAGTACCCTGGTACAGTAGAATATGAAAGAGTGCAGTGATGGATGCCGGAGTAGTGCAGTCGTATTCTAGTAACGTGATACACATTAATACTGTGGTAGCACTCTAGTGCAGCAGTACTGTTGCAACACTACTCTTGTAATCATATGTTCTAACACTGTACTGGTAGTGCTGTTGTCGCACTGTGGTCGTATTTTTGCTCAAATACTGTAGTAGCACTGATACTCCAGTACTGGCTGAAATATCACCACTGTAGTATGCAGTGGGACTGTAGTAGTACGACTACAAATCGCACTCCAGCATTGTAGTCATAGTAGCAACTAGTACTCTAGTTATGGCTGAACCAGTGGCACTGTAGTGTGATAGTTCTGTATCAGTGTCACTTTAATAGCAGTCGTACTGTCTGTGCTGTATAACGCTCGCTACACGATAGTACTGTCATACAATATGTTGAAAATGGCTAAAACCTTTGAACGCGAGCACTCTGGTATGATAGCATTCGGATACTATAATCGCACCGGGGTGCTACTATACCACGATACTGAAGTACGAATCGTGCTGCTACTCTCAGCACTGCAACAGGGGTAATCGCGCTGTAGTACTGCAGTGGTCGTAGCAGCACCCCACTACTGTAGCAGCACCAGTGCCCTGGCACTGGCTGTAGCAGTCGTACTCTTCATAGCGTAGCCGCAGTAGTCCCATCATAGAACACTCGAGTACGGTCGTGTTTATGTCTCACTGCACCCTGAAGATGCAGCACTGTGATAATAGTACTCTAGTGATGTAGTCGTACGGCAGCAGCACTGTAGTAGTAGTAGTAGTAGTAGTAGTAGTAGTAGTAGTAGTAGTAGTAGCAGTAGTACTCGAATACTGGAGTGGACGTCATATTTCAAATACTGGATGTAATAGCAATGCTGTAATACTCTAGTGCTGCAGCCTCGCAGTAGCACCCAAGTGCTGTAGTATTGTAGTGCTGTAGCAGTACTGTAGTGGTAGCTCTCTGTAGTTATACTGTAGCAGTATGCTGGTGGTGGTACTATTCTGCTACTGTGTAAGAAGTAGTGCTCTAGCACTGGCTGTAGTAGTTGTGCGCGTTCGTGACTTCGTGGTCGCTCATGGGTATCGCGGTCTTGTTTTTCTCCAGCCCAATATGCCGTTTGTCGTGTACACTACGTTTCTTGTTTTGCTGTTCGCGGAGAGTATGTTTCTCAGGAGACCGTTCGTGACGCCGTGGTCGACAATGAGTCGCGCGGTGTTCCTTCTAGAGCTGCGGCTCGCGAGACAATGAGGGAGACTGATATGCGCGTGGAGGTGAGGAGCCCCGCGCCAGAAAAAACAACGCCACGAACTTTTTCAACATTAAAACAATAATAACATCAACGCCAAAACACATGTACATATATAATTATGTGTAGCAGTAAAAATATACATATATATATATATATATGTTGTCGCAACTCCCCAAGGGGGAAGTGCGACCATGAGCGGGATGTGAACGCTCTCCCACACTTTGCAACTCTTGAGTCTCTGGACGCCGGGAAAGACATCACGTACGTATGTTGGCAAGCATCGTGCCCCCAACAATAACCGCGCCCCTTGGCACGCACGAAATCCGCCGACCCTGTCGGCGCGTGGGAGACGCTGGTCTGTTTGCTCCGTTCTCGTCGTCGTCGACGTCGTCGTCGTCGACGTCGTCGTCGTCTACGTCGTCGTCGTCGCCGATATTCTCACTTGATTCTTAAGCCCGTCGCAAAGTTTTCTGCACCCGCCGCAACTTTCTCCCTCCTTTTCCTGAGCCCTCCTCCTCGAGCTCGCCAGCCGAAACTTACATAACTACTTCGTGATTGGGCCGGAAGGAAGCCCTTCTCATGCTCCCTCCCCTGCTGGGGGGGGCGGGCGGGGAGTGTCTAGCGGGGTCCCCGGTCAGAGTGCCATCCCCCTGGGGTGTCCCTGGGCCCAAAAAGGCCAAAAGAGCCAAGAATGCCCAAAGAGGATGCCAAGACGAGGGCCCAGATTGACTCCAGACGGCTTACGAAACCTCCAAGCGCCAAGACGCAAACTTCATTGCCTGGCTGAAGGTTTTTGGCCGATTTTGGTGTTCTCGCCTGTTCGGCTTCCCGACGCTCCAAGACGGCCCAAGAGGCCCCCAATATTGCCCCAAAACGGCCCAAGAGCCTCCAAGAAGGCCTCAAAACGACCCAAGAGGACCCCAAGACGGCCCAAGAGTCATTCAAGACGGCACAGGAGGTCCCAAAGACGGCTCCAAGAGGGTAGTGCCCAGAGGCGGGACCCGAAGTGACATTTCGAGCCCTCGGCCCCGAGAGGGAGGCTCCCAAGAGGCCCAAAAAGAGGTTCCAAAAAAGATCCAAGAGAGACCCCGCTCCCGGGAAGCCCAAAGACCGGCCCCCATGGAGGCCCCCAAGCCGAGAGGACACCAAATGGCTCCCACGAGACCCCCAGACTGCCCACCTGAGGCAACGGAGAGCCCTCAGGAGCATCCCTGAGGACGTCGTCGCCGCCGCCGCCACCACCGTCGTCCCCCTGCAGGGTCGGCGGCACCGGCCGTCAGGCCTTCGCACCAGGGGCGGACAAAAACGGGGAGGACGCCCACAGCGGCCGCGGTTGGGCAGGCGACTCTCTGGCCACGAATGGACGGCGTCCGTGGCCACGCCGACGGCGAGCCGTGCTCAGATGGGCCCGACCTGCTTCCAACCAGCGCCCCCGTCCCCTTCACATACGGAACCACATGCAACCCCTGCCCTTCGATCGGAAGGAGCCGGTAAAAAATGATGTAGGAAGGCGGATACAGTGGATTGGGGCCAGGCCATCCAAGAGAAAAATACAACACATCAAGAGTATGCCGATTCTTGAAGAAGGAAGGTGCTAAAGTAGACTGGGATCTGGGAATCATAGAATACATAATTTCAACTACCTGCGTGTACCCCTGCAGGCCAGATTTCCTAAACGCCGGCGGGGAGTTCCAGAATATGAGTGATGTCTGCGGCCAAGTGAACCCGAGAAAGGGTGCTTGATACGACGGGCATCGTCAGGGGGGGACTAGCTCAGGGGCGGAAGCATCGAGCTGGAATCGGCGATACGTCGCCGATGGATCGGCGATAGGCCCCCGATCGCCAATCCGCACGCTCCTGAGCGGGGTGGGCTATCGGGCCACCGCCGGCGATGAACGGGCGGTTGGGGGTCGATGCACCTCCCCCTTGAGCCCGTCCCCCGCTGACATCGACCTCAGCCTCAGTCGGGGATATATTGTATATTGACCCGGGTCGATCCAAACCCTGTTCAGTCGTGCCTTGCAGAATCCCACAGGATCCTGCAGGATCCCACACGCAGGCCCGGGCCAGTGCCACCCTGGCCCTGCAGGATCCTGCAAGATCTGGCACTCTGACTGACCGCCGTTTGCATCGATGAGTATAGTTTATCCGATCCCCATCCCCAGCGGCGTGGCCTGGGCCCCACTGGCCGATTTACCCCCCCAGATGGGGATAGAGGCCGTCCTCTTCGGGTTTCGCGGGGTGTATCCCCAACTGGGGTGGTAAATCGGTGGGGTCCGAAGGTTCCCCCAAGTGTTTTGATAGTAAAAGCGCGCCTACACAGCTCATATTGAGACAAAGAGGCCCTCATAGTCATTTACAGGTGCGAAAAATCTGTTTTCTCAAAACTGGCGCCGGCGGTAAACCGTCAACCTGGTCACCGCCGGGAACCTCGTGGAGCTCCTTGCAGATGAGGATGGAGATATGGGTCGGATAAACGATACTGAATTGAGCTCCGTCCGTTGAGCCCCGACTCGGGCGGCCTTTCGGGGCGATCTGGGCACCCCCGGGACGCTCTCGGCGAGCTGCAGCTGGAAACCCACCGAGGACCAAACCGAAACTCTCAGAGACCTCTACGCTGGGTGGAAGCATCGAACGAAGGCCAAGCGTTCAAGCCTGTCTTAAGAAAGAGAGAAGGAAGATGATGATGAGGATGATGATGAGGATGATGATGAGGATGATGATGATGATGATGATGATGATGATGATGATGATGATGATGATGATGATGACGCGTTTTGAGACCAAACCAAACCTATTCGCCATCGCTGGGACGTCCAGTTCCCGCGCATGTGTCGCCTTCGCGCGCTAACGTTTTGCAAGATGACCCGAGATGCTCCTCGACTGCCCTCGCCCAGGAAAACGCACATGCCCGAGCGATGCCAACTCTGACTTCGAACTTAACACCACCCTGACTCCCCTGTATCCATGCTGTGGGGCCTCACGCAGGCATCTTGACAACACCGATTCAGGGTGCTGTATGTTGCATGTCTGGGCCCCGCAAAATTCGGATATATCGAAACTGGTACGGAAATAATGGTGACGAAGACCGACAGTAACTCCTGCCCATTTTGACCAGGAGGAGAAAAATCCTGCCAAACAACAGGCGCTGTCCAATTTGAGCAACACTCGCTGTTTTTTCCGTTCTAACCGCAGAACGCAGAACTGAATGGCAGCTGACCCCGTAGGGGTGGGTTACCCAGCCGACACAACCGCCAGTCGACAGTGGCCGCTAGTGGGGCCAGCTATTCAAATAGTCGCCCCCCCCCCTGTGATCATACCTCTCTCTGTTTCTCTGCGTCTTCCTCGTTGTCCTATCTCTTCCTCCTCCTCCTCCTCTCCTCCTCCTCCTCCTCTCCTCCTCCTCCTCCTGCTCCTCCTCCTCTTTGTAGCGATGCACATTCTGGGCTTGTGAAGCCACGAAACACTGTGTATGTGCTGTTTTCTGGTTTTGCAAGCCCTGGTGGTCGCCGCGGCCTCCCTCGCAACACTTCTCTCTGAGCCTGCAAAACAAAAGAAGAACAGCAAAAGTATGCACAGTACTTGGCGCCCTTGGTGCAAGGAAGCACTGTTCATGTTTGCTGTTGTTGGGTTTGTGCGTCTTTTCCTCATCGCGATAGTTTGGGAGAAGACGGAAGGGGCAAGAGGGAGGGGACGACCGTAACATCACTCGAGTCACCCGAGCACTCCGTGGCGAAACGCGGCAAAAGCTGACCAGCTGCTTATTTACAACAACATCCAAGCAGTAAAAAAGCACCGGCGAGAGGAGGAGAAGGGAGGGAAGCGAGGACAAGGAGGAGGAAGAGGAGGAAGCAGAGGAGAACTCCAAGATACCAGGAGCAGCGCTTAGGCCAATCTGCCGTAGGCGAGCCGTTGCACGCACCTGGGACTCGCGAATCGCAGTGCAATCCACAGCTGCGGAGGACAAGGAGGAAGAAGAGGAAAACACACACACACAAGCAAGTATCAGGCTGCGTGCCCGACGACCCCCGTCCGGCACAAAGAAGCAGCCGCAATGGGGTGGAGGAGGAAGACAGGGAGCGCTGAGACCGCAGTGCGACCGCTCTCAGCCGAGAGGGGCACAGCAGGCTAAAGGTAGTCTGAGTGAAAGAATGGCCCTGCAACGATCGCAGGCGGCCCGCCAAAGAGGACAAAGCGGGCTCGCTGGCGACTCCCTGGACCGGGAGCGATCGGCGAGACCGGGAGGCCCTCCACCGGCCACCTCCGCGTGCACCAAAGCCAACGCCAATTATCGCATTGAGGGCGAACTCCGCACTTCGAGTGAAGAGGAGAACCGAGAGGGAGGGAGGGGAGAGGGAGGGGGGGGGAGCGTACCAGCCGAGCGCCGTCTTCACCTGCACGCCCTCCAAGCGTTCGCAGAGCGCTTCGTCGTGAGATGCGCACCCGAGCGTGCGGCGCACATCCAAACGCCAACAGCTCCAATGCACCATTTTCGGCCTGGGAGCGCGTAGATTAGATGCTGTCGCCCAGCGGCTGGCGCCGCCTGGCAGCCAGCCAACCTGCAAATTCCTTAGAAGGCCCCAGTGGCAGGGTTCGCATGGCGCCACCGCACCCATTTCGGCACACCCCTCACACGTTTCGTGGCCCCATAGGGAGCTCCACCGAAGGCCCCATTGGCAGGGTTCGCATGGTGCCACCGCACCCATTTCGGCACACCCTTCACACGCTTCGTGGCCCCATAGGGAGCCCCACCGAAGGCCCCATCGGCAGGGTTCGCATGGCGCCACCGCACCCATGTCGGCACACCCCTCACACGTTTCGTGGCTCCATAAGGAGCTCCACCGAAGGCCCCATTGGCAGGGTTCGCATGGTGCCACCGCACCCATTTCGGCACACCCTTCACACGCTTCGTGGCCCCATAGGGAGCCCCACCGAAGGCCCCATCGGCAGGGTTCGCATGGCGCCACCGCACCCATGTCGGCACACCCCTCACACGTTTCGTGGCCCCGTAGGGAGCTCCACCGAAGGCCCCAGTGGCAGGGTTCCAACGGCGCCACCAAACCTATTTCGGCGACCGATTTAGACAACACTTGGTGTTGAGGGGTGTATCCGTGTTCTCCGTACCCATGTCTTCGGGCGTGCCAGAATCAGGAACAAGGGTCAGAGGATGCAGGGGAGGGGGAGGGTCGGGCGGGGCCAAGTCAAGGTTAAACGTTTCAGAGCATTCTGGAACGCTCTGAGAAGGCCGCGAGGCCCGATACATCCCCCAAGAAGCGTCGAATTCCAGAGATCTCCGATCCGGGTGCTGCTCCATGGGGTGACGATGCAAAAAAAGGGGGGGATCGGGAAACGCGCACCTTTCGTGGCCCTCTTGGGCCCCAAGGGAGCCCTTCGGGGCACAAAAGGTGCACCGGTCGCCCCCCCCCGACGCCACCCCCGCTACGCCACGCCCGACCGATTCATCCCTGCCCGATCCCAAGCGTACCGACAGACGGCCTACGGCGAGGCCGCCGGCCGCTTGAAAAGAGGCACCCTCGCGGGAGGAGCCCTCCCGGCCTGGCCTGCTCGGCGACTTGCTCGCGCATCGCCATCTCCCTGCGGCGCTGCCGCTCCACGTTGATCTCCTCCGCCGGCCACGGGCGACGACGACGACGACGACGACGAGCAAGCGGAACGAGGAGGACGAGGAGTGGAGTGGAGTGGACGACATGACAGTGTGATGGGAGGACGAAGAGGGGGAGTCAGGGGTTAGGGGTCCCAGGACACAATCCAAATAGCCTCAGGAAGGCCCCTTGTCGGCCACGGCCTTACGATCGAGCTCGGTTTTGCTGTAAGCTTCGGGGAAAACCCCCCACCCGATGCGCTCCAGGTACTCAGCACGAGCGGGGGTCACCCACCACATTGGGTCACTCCATGGCCGAGACCTCACAACTTCCTATCCCCACACATCCCACAAAATGCGCAGAACCAAATTGCTAGGTCCTGGTGGAGACGCATTTTGTGGGAAGGGTGATTCCACCCCGAAGAAATTTGTATCCTCGTCCCCTCGGGACATCCCGTACGGGAGCCGTCAATAGAAACGAATATGAAAGATTCTGAATTCATCCAGGCACTGGCCAGAGAAAGCGAAACCGAGCCCCGCAATCGGCGGCACCGACCCCCCGAGTCGTCGAGAGCATGGCTGGAACCGAAACAGGAAGCACACGATGGAGGTCAGTTCCTTCACCACGACTCGTGCCCACAGCGAGGCCCACAAGGGCCCTTCGACCCCCCCGTCAGTGCCTACCACCTCTACCACTAGAAGCCTCACCTTCACTGCCATGATTTTCCCTCAGCGGCAAATGCAGCGATCGTTGACTTCAAAATGCACATACGGATCCAGAACATCTACAGCTCCAAAGCCAAGTTTGGGGTGCGGATGCTGAGCGGAAACCTGCGTTGTGAAGACCCCCCCAAGCCAACGCGTCAGCAACGAGATTGCTACGAACCAACCACGACACCCCTTGATCCTTGACAACGTCCTTGGCATCCAAAAGTACTTCTAGTGAACAACACAACGAAATGTCCTCTCCCACGGGGCTGCATGATCACATTAACCTCGGTCCACAGGTCACCGTTCTCGCTGAGGGCGACATGTCCCGACGATTGTACCACCCGTCGTACATTCCTTCGTTGTCGGCGACGAACATGACGAAATCGTACGCCAAACGAATGGCGCAAACACATAGCCTGGCGAAGGATCCAACCATATGTAGTTGTGAGTACCATCGTTGTGCGCAACGCATTCGGGGGAGCTCCCTACAAGGCCACGACGCGTGTGAGGGGTGTGCCGAAATGGGCGCAGTGGCGCCATGCGAACACTGCCACTGGGGCCACGAAGCGTGTGGGGGGTGTTCCAAAATAGGGCGGCGGCGCCATGCGGACGGCGACACTGGCACCTTAGGTGGAGCTCCCTGTGGGGCCACGAAACGTGTGGGCGGTGTGCCAAAGTAGGGCGGCGCCGCCATGCGGACGGCGACGCTGGGACTTTCGGTGGAGCTCCTTATGGGGCCACACAACGTCTGAGGGGTGTGCCCAAATGGGGCGGCGCCGCCATGCGGACGGCGCCGCTGGGACCTTGGGTGGAACCCCCTGTGGGGCCACGGACCGTGTGAGCGGTGTGCCAAAATAGGGCGGCGCCGTCATGCGGACTGCGCCACTGGGACCTCGGGTGGAGCACCCTATGGGGCCACACAACGTGTGAGCGGTGTGCAAAAATCGGGCGGCGCCGCCATGCGACTTGCGCCACCAAGACCTTAGGCGGAGCTCCCTATGGGGCCACGAAACATGTGAGAGGTATGCCCAAATAAGGGTACAGCGCCGCCATGCGACTTGCGCCACCAGGACCTTAGGTGGAGCTCCCTATGGGGCCACGAAGCGTGTGAGCGGTGTGCAAATATCGGGCGGCGCCGCCATGCGGACTGCGCCACTGGGACCCGAGGCAGAGCTCCCTATGGGGCCACGAAACGTGTGAGGGGTGTGCCAAACTGGGGCGGCGCCGCCTTGCGGACTGCGCCACTGGGACCCGAGGTGGAACTCCCTACGGGACCACGAAACGTGTGAAGGGTGTGCCGAAAAAGGGACGCGCCACTGGGACCTGAGGTGGAGCTCCCTATGGGGCCATGAAACGTCTGACGGGTGTGCCAAAATAGAGCGGCGCCGCCATGCGAACTGCGCCACTGGGGCTTTAAGTGCAACTCCCTATGGGGCCACGGAGCGTGTGAGGGGTGTGCGACCTTAGTTCGAACTCCCTGAGGGGCCACGAACATTGTGAGTGGTGTGCCAAAATAGGGCGGCGCCGCCATTCGGACTGCGCCACTGGGACCTTAAATGGTGCACCCTATGGGGCCACAACACGTGTGAGCGGTGTGCAAAAATCGGGCGGCGCCGCCATGCGGACTGCGCCACTGGGACCCGAGGCAGCGCTCCCTATGGGGCCACGAAACGTGCGAGGGGTGTGCCAAACTGGGGCGGCGCCGCCTTGCGGACTGCGCCACTGGGACCCGAGGTGGAACTCCCTACGGGGCCACGAAACGTGTGAAGGGTGTGCCGAAAAAGGGACGCGCCACTGGGACCTGAGGTGGAGCTCCCTATGGGGCCATGAAACGTCTGACGGGTGTGCCAAAATAGAGCGGCGCCGCCATGCGAACTGCGCCACTGGGGCTTTAAGTGCAACTCCCTATGGGGCCACGGAGCGTGTGAGGGGTGTGCGACCTTAGTTCGAACTCCCTGAGGGGCCACGAACATTGTGAGTGGTGTGCCAAAATAGGGCGGCGCCGCCATTCGGACTGCGCCACTGGGACCTTAAATGGTGCACCCGATGGGGCCACAAAACGTGCGAGCGGTGTGCAAAAATCGGGCGGCGCCGCCATGCGGACTGCGCCACTGAGGCCTGAGGTGAAGCTCCGTGTGGGGTCACGGAATATGTGTGAGGGGTGTGCCAAGATGGGGCGGCGCCGCCTTGCGGACTGCGCCACCAGGACCTTAGGCGGAGCTCCCTATGGGACCATGACACATCTCAGAGGTGTGCCCAAAGAAGGGGACGGCGCCGCCATGCGGAATGCGCCACTGGGACCTTAGGTGGAGTTCCCTATGGTGCCACGAAGCAGCGTGTGAGGGGTGTTCCGAAATGGAGCGGCGCCGCCTTGCGGACTGCGCTGCTGTGACAAGAGGTGGAACTCCCGATGGAACCACAAAACTTGCGACGGGTGCTCCAACATGGGGCGTCACCGCCATGCGGACTGCGCCACTGGGACCTTAGGAGGAGCTCCCTATGGGGCCACGAACCGTGTGAGCGGTGTGCCAAAATAGGGCGGCGGCGCCATGCGGACTGCGCCAGTGGGACCGCCGGTGGAACTCCTTATGGTGCCGCAAAACATGTGAGGGGTGTGCCAAAATGGGGCGGCGCCGCGATGCCGACTTCGCCACTGGGATTTGGTGAAGCTCCCTATGGGGCCACGAGACGTGTGAGGGGTGTGACGAATACGACGATGATTATGATGATGATGGAGGAGGGAAGGGGGAAGGGGAGGAGAGGAGAAGGACGCGGGGATGTCTCGTCGAAACGAGGGCCCAACACCACAGGATGGTTGGGAAAAAACACGAACAACTCGCCGCGAGGGGCGGGGTGTTAAGGACCTGGCGGCCACTGACTGTGCGGATGATGTGCATGATAGGTTCACCACAAAACTGCGCGACACAAGCTCCGACGCGACGAGATCTCGGGACAGAGGAATCCTCGCTTCAACTGAAACCGCCGAAGACCAAGACAGGCCAAGCCCCAGATCAAAGGCCAATGCGTCCCAAGAGTATGCCGTCGGTGGACACGTTCTCCCGCCAGGTCTCGAGGTCGGCGGGGGCTGGGGCCTGAGTGCGATCTGATGCTATGAGGCCCCTCGACGAAATAGCCTCGTCGGCCTCGCGTTGGCATTGTCGCCGGATGCGAAGAAACTGAAACTGATTGTGCGTCGCATCCCCACGATTCAACTCACAGCCCAACGTGCAGCGGTAGGCTGTCTCAAGGCAGCGCTTGCATCTGGGGCTCGCGGGGCCCAGTGGCGGTTTGGCGGCGGCCCCAGATCCCCCCTGTCGGGGGCCCCCCCGCCAGAGGCAACAATGGCCAACAACTCTGATGGCCGCTTCCCCCTCTGAGACGGCCCAAGATGACGTAGTACGCAAAAGCAATCGCACGGGCGCCATGTCGACCCCCGGCCCCAGGCCACCACCACAGAAATCAAATCCGCACGTCGCCACACCGGCAGCTCGGAAACCCAGTCGACGTCTACGGATCATGACGAATTCCATCGAGTTCAGTATATCTTTATTCAGGAACCTGCCGCTCGGCACCGTGGGGCATGATCCACGGCGCAGGAAAGATCGGGCCCCATTTCCGTTCGAGGAAGTAGATGATGGCCGCCGGCCTGGGGCCGCGAACGTGGCGCGCCAGCCGAGCCTCTGGCGCGGAAAAGGTTGGGCCGCTGAGCTCCAAGCGCGGCGCGCTCCAACGCGGATGGGTGAGCTGCTGAAGCACTGTCGAACCTCAAATTCAACGCGCCCGCGCGGATTGTGCACGCCTGGGCCACGACCAGGCTTCTCGATGGTTTGGAAAGAAGTCTTGCACAAACCGCGGCTACCATTGCCCGCCGCCGCGGCAAACGGCGTCGCGGGCACTCCAGCTGGCTGCCGAGGGCGCCGTGGACGCGATGGCCATAGTTGCCAGCAGCAGCGCTGGCGCGCCGAAGCTTGCAAGTGATGCTGTAGGCCTCCGAGACACGAACCAAACGAAACATCTGGCCGTGGAATTCCGCGTGCTTGACGACCAACGTCAGTCGTGTCCGGCGCGCGCGCCGGGCGCTGCCTCCTTGGCCAATGCCCACTTGAACCCCCTTAACGCGAAGTCGACAGAATATCTACTTCGCGCATCCAAGGACTGAGCAACCGATAACCGAATTGGGGGAAGCGCCAAAACACCACTTGGCCAGCTCGTCACATGCATCGGCCGAGCAGGCGGCGACTCTGGCGCGGAAGGCACAAGACGTGGGGCAACCGTGCTAGGCGAGATGTCGCGCAACCGAATCCCGTG